CCGGCGTGTCTCCTCCGGCAGCTGACGACTCAAGCCCAAGGCCCCGTAGGTTCTACACTGTTCCTATGGTGGCGGTTAGGAGGAAAAGGAGGGAGATGCGGCCGCGTGGCGGCTAAAGGACATAGCTCTCAATAAATAAGTTGTCATTATCTTACACTGCCTGAACATGTGCAAACACAGCCTTACAAAATGTATGAGCCACTAAAATGTTGTGGCTTCAAGAATCTTCAAGAATTTGTTTGTAAAACCGTCAAGCCATCTCCTTCAAGACTTTATTTCTTTAAAAGCTAAGCCCAAATGTTACGTACGTTACGTAGGCCACCAAATCAACTGTTTTCTTCTGCCACAAGGGCCATCAAGTCGTGTCCCGATTGTATCAAATGTTCATTAAAACTTGCCCAGCAAAAGATTGACATACGTTTCATAAAAAAATATTAACATTAAAATGACTAAATGTACTATTAAAGATGGCATAAACGCCATTTGTTCTATTCTTTTGTTTTTTCTTAAATCACACATTTGTAATTTTTTGACATCTCTCGCGCGTCGTTAATACCTACTTACATTAACGGCGATTTGTATACATTGATTGAAATGAAATGAAAAATACATGAAATTCTCGAAAACCAAAATTCTGTGAAAGAAAGCTCAATATTTCGCATTTTCAGAAACGCTCAAACGACATTGTCTCAAAATCGGTTCCAATTTTTTTCTTCAAACTTCTTGAAAGAACAGTGATAAAGACGCAGTATAAGATGACAGGAAATCCAGTTTCCTGTATTCTTTTGTTTGTTTTTAAAAAATTACGCAAATTATTTTTTTTTTTAAATAGATATCTTTCACACATTTCCAGCATACCATTCATTGCATTTGTCAGTAGAAGAGTCATTCCAAGTCAAATCGAACGAATTCGACGAAAAATTGAGCTTTATTTTTTTGATATAAAAATGTATATTAAAAATATGAACTACTGACTGTAGTAGCAATGAATGCATTTAGAATAACACTCTTAATCTAGTGAAAAATCTTAATGAAAAATAGTATGCTCCATACAAAACAGTACAGTAGACAATCACTTTACTGGGGGATAGCTAAACTACCACAGGATGTATGTGGATAAAACATCAACAAACAATAATCCGCGTAGAAAAGCAATAATACTCTATAACAAATTACCTAATACAAGTAAAGACAATTTCGAAGGATTATTAAAAACATACCTAATTGAGATGCTTGTAACACCAAGTTATAAACAATAACATTTATTTATTATTTATAACATTAATTTATAATTATATAGAGAGCAGAAAAGACTTTACTTTTAAATTTGTGTAAACTTGTTTAATGACATGTGGCAACATGTGGTCATTATCATGCATTCATTATTATGTGGATTTCTTATGAGCTGTTGATACTGACACCTGATTAACGTGATTTCTATGATGTGTGTTGTAAATGTAAATATTAGAATTGCATGAAAATACGTTCCTATTGCTAAGTGAGTCAGTTTTGACGAAATCAACAAATTTGTAAATACATAGGTAAGATTCCAAGCTTAATGCAGAATGTCTTGTAGAATCACATGGATGGTATTTCCTTGACATTTGTAATTTTTTTTCTGTAAATTAAAAGTCTGGGTACTGTAGGCTGCGGTTCCCCAGAATATTATGCCATATTTGAGGCAAGAATGTACATGAGAATGTAATTTCTGGAATGTCTTATGACAGCTGAATTTGAAATTGTGTTTAAAAAGTCATGAATAATCATAAAAATGTGCGAAATGCTTCTCTTCAGCCAGCCATTTTCATTTCAACAAATATACTTTAATGTTTGAGTATTAATATTTCAGGTTTACAAGATATGTTTTGGTTCTTGATGATATGGTGTTTTTAAGGATCAAATAAAAAACAAAAAGTTAAAGAAGCTCCTTTTGAGCATATATGTATTTTAAAAAATTGGTTCACTTTGGTCAATCATTTAAGTTGTTTTAACATTGCAAATATTGCAATAATATTTACAGACAAATAAATAGTACAAAAATATCAACAACTTTGTATATACATTGACCGAGCTGATCTTTCCCACTTCTAAAATTAAACAACTATTAAATACTGCTAATTAAGTCTTCACTTTGTGTCTCAACAAATTTAATCATTCACTATAACAAACTAATATATGCCGATCATTTTGCCAAGAACATAAAATACATACTCATTTTTAAAGACTACCATGCATTTATAAATATCATACAATTTTCCTTGCAACACTTTGTGTCACGCTAAAAGTAATATGGATTCCTCTGATTCTGCAGTCCACTTATGACTTTAAAGTACAAACAATCTATGAAGTTTATACGAGTATTTATGTTCTTTCAAAATTCAGCACTCACAAACAAATACAAGGTAAAATATAGTACATTCTACACAAAACAGGCATGTATAAGAGCCACTCAATCTATTTCACACATTCTCAATCAGAAATAATCTCTAAACACTCATTCAGTAGTAATTTTACCTTAACACTTCATTTATGCAAAAAACACTTTACCATGATTATTAATGTAACGAACTATGAGAATTTGAATGTAATGAACATTCTTCACATCAAACATTCTGGTAATAATTAATATATTTACATCCAATGCACACTTTTAACAAAATATTCATCATACAGGAAGTCTATCACTAGAATTGTTTTTCTCTACCATTATGTCATGGACAAAATTTATTTACATTGATTCTCCTAGGAATTGTTGATTCCTTTACACAAGCACACTCAAGAAATTAATAAATAACAAATAAATAAAGTAAAAACAAATGAAACTGTACAACGTAAGTAATCCCATGTGTTGAAAATTCACAACAGGCATTTTTTAGTGTTTACATCATTTATCAAGATAATGATATGCACTATAGCTATTTTGCCATCACACTGCAATCTGTAATGACATGTAAAGCATTTAACAATAGTTGCAGCTTTCCTTTATCACAATTTTTTTTCTACCATTGCATTATCTCATTTACTAGAAAAATATATTGAGATTTGTGACACAGCACTATATCATGAACATTTGAGATTCTTCATGTTTGGAACAGGAACCATTGCAAAATATAACAATACTTGATAACAAAGTAAAATATGAGTTGTGTCTAGTCAAAAGAAGTCTCATTCTTTGGTTTAAAGGAACATAACTACAAAAAGCATCTACCAAGACACTTGTGTAGAGTTAACATAGAGACTGACTTTCTTTCAGATCACAATGGAGGATTTGTTACCTCCATTTCATTACAATTCTTCAATCATTGAATAATTGTAATCTCATTTCCAAAGTGCAATAAAGCTGTTAATTTATAGTCAATGGAATTGTGTTTTATGTACTGTAGTCACAGTAGGAGGAATTGTTATATTGCAAATAGGATTATGGGCCATCAAAAGAGGTTCCGTAGATAATATTGGCTTTCCATCTCTTTGGCAGGTTTTAAATCTGAAACAAAAAGAGAAAATTAAGTTTTATATAATATGTATTAAAGCTTATTATTAGAAACCACTCCTCAAATTGTATCTGAAATGAAAAATTACTTTGTTTTTATTGAACTTACTCATTTCCAGTCTCCAAATTTGTAATAGTAATCCAATCCAGGTAGATTTTAGGGATTCCCATCACACGCCAACTTAAAGGATTCAAGAAGGACATACGATATTCCCACTCGACAATTACTGATTGAATAGCACCAACACCTCTGCTAGCAATAACTGTTTGATGGACGGAACCAGGTTCATATAACTGTTCACTGTAAACAATTTAAAGAAAGATTACATTAGAGGTAAAATTCCTCATTAAGTGTTCTGAACAATGCTATGCGATATCTGCATAGCAATTTGAATACTAAGCAGTTACAACTTCAAAATGTGTATTAGTTTCAATTGCAGAACATTAAAATTACCTTGTGGTGAAACCCATCCGATGAGAAGTTCCTTTGTCACCAAGCAATGTAACCCAAAACATGCCAATTTCAGCTCCGTGTTTTACACTGTGAGGAAGTCCAGATATGTGCAAACCGACTTTGTAATGTTCCTCTGTAACATTTAAAATCAAAGTTAGAAGTTGACTATTTTCCTCCAAATTTTTAAATATCCAAAATAATCTTTATTTATTAACGTAAAAAAATTACTTTCAGCAAACCTTAATACAATCTATTTAAGAACTAAAATACAGTGGAATGACATTTAAAGTTAACATTTTATTTAATGTAGACACTTATTATGGAATTGTAGGTGATAACCATTTCAAGAAGTTGGATATTCTGTCATTATTGTGGATATAATATTGCCCAAGGTAATGATCATGTACTTACGGCAAAATGGTGTTCTACTGCCTGTCATGAGGTACAATTTTTCCTGAGACAAACTCAGAGATTTTCCATGCCATTGCTGATTCAGATGAGAAAGAGAGTGATATCCAAATGTAGCACAGAGACGTTCTCCACGTCTATGACTTTCAGGGGTGATCTCACTAGCACACTTAAAACAAGATCCATTCTTGAAGTGTTCCCAACTTTCACACGCAATTGCCATGTATGGGCACCGAGTATTGATAGATTCGGTATAGTACTTGTAACTGCGAATGTGATTGCAGCTTAGGAATTTTTGTAAACCTGCAAAATAAAAATAAAGAAAATTAATGAAAAGTGTCCACAAAACTGGTATTACAAAAATAATTTTGAGCTACTGATTACACAATATAAATTTCAAATTTCAGGGGATACATTCATTTCATAACTGGGCAAAATTTAAATTAATTTACTGATAAATCAGTGTCATTTTTTAAAGATGATGTGCTGAGTATTGAATAAAATTATTGCTGAGAAGATAGTCAGCAGAACTCATCAAATTCACAAAATAATTATTATAATAATATTATAATGAATTTGGGATACAACTCTTGAAAGAAATCTAATCAAATTGGTTTGTGATAAATAATCATATCATAAAGTGGGAAAAAGCACACAAGTTCAAAATATTTTTTTTTAAGTCGGTAATAACATGTGTTCAACGAAATACAGGAAAAAATTTCCAATATTGTAAGACTTAATATTAAAGGGTTATTTTACATACCTCCAACAAAGCTGCCTCTTTCTCTGCCTATATAATGAGACATAGTTTCACTGCAACCTGGTTGATTAACTCCTCCATTGGGATAAAAGTCAACATGGCCCACAGGCTCCAAAAGACCAAGACCTGATAAATCAATTATTGATAAGTTCTCCTACAAAAACACTTTACAACAACTGTCCAACATTGCTGTAAAAACTTACCTCCACTGATAAACGGAGCTGTATCTGTGTGAGTAACATCAATGAAATCAGCATCTGTAGGGTCAAGTCTCATGATTGGAGGTGTTTTGGTAAAATGAGGTTCAGCTGGATCCAAAGCTGAAAAAAATAGAATATCAAACATTAATAGAGATAAGAGGATATAAATCTAATTCTTATTATCTGAAGAAATTATACCAGATAAATTATGTTAATTAATAATATACAAGTTTTCTGAAATTATTAATAAATAAATTGAACGAGATGTTCAATCAAGTCAGGTATTAATACACATGTTGACTGCATAATTAACCTATTTCTACTTAGGTATCACTTAGTTCAGGATAGCTACTCCACTAATTATTTTAAATGCTTTTAGCACAGAAAATATTGAATCAATTCCTAAAATCTAAACCCACAGCAGAAAATCGAATCCAAGATTTAAAGTTCAAGAAAAGTAAATAAATAAGACATTGACAGAAAATTTTAGTGATAATGAAAGAAAAAGAAAAGATAAGGAAAAAAAGAGTATGAAGAGGACAGATTCTGATTGCAACTTCTTATCAAGACCTTTACCACAAAAATATACCAAGAAATAGAAAAATTGTGATATAGTAAGTAAATCTAATTAATTGAATGACTTCATGAAGCAGATTCAAATGTGACGTCAAATAGGGTCACGCCCCCCTCCAGACTTTGGACTGCATGACCCAAAAGTCAGACAAACATGACCAAATGTTATCACCCATTTGCTTATTTTCTACCGAAGTTTTATCTCTCTGAAATAAAGACATGACCTTGTCACTGGTATGGGAGCTATTGATATTCTCAAACTTTGTACTTTCTAATAATTTTAAGTCTGAGTTTATTATGCCCAATGATAATAAATTGGGAATTATATTATAACTTACAATTAAAGCAATACAATTAAAATAACCATATCTTCTTTAGCCTTACATTTTTCCTAATGCCCCTAATACTGATCCCTTAAAAGAAGTTTCAAATAGTACCTTATTACAAAAATATCACATACCAAAGATAAGATAGAAACATTAATATTATGTAAATCAATAGTTCTGAAAATAAACAGGCTATGGCCATTATCTACCAGGAACTACACTGACCCCAGGGCAATCATAGCAGTCTTATCTTTTAGAGAGTTCCGTGTTATTAAAAGCATGCAATTTAATTTTCAAGTCAATTCTGTTGATTATCTAGTGTACTTTGATCATGAAATGGCAAACTTTTATAGAATGCTAACAGCACAAGTCCAAAGTCTGAGGATGTATTGTCGATATAAACATAATTCTGCAATGGGCATTGACCAGATTACAACTTTGAAAATGAAGTAAAGCGTAAACAAACAAAGGTTTAATATAGTGATATGAATAGATACAATCATTTGAAATATCAATTGAAAACCCGATGAAATGGAAATAAAAAGAAAATTCCGAGCCTTCATATTATGAAATATAATCATTTATGATAATGAGAGCTATTTATTTTGGTAAATGATAAGAAAATAACAAATGCTTATGAAACCCAAATGCCCATCATACTCACCAGAGATACGAGCCAATCTTATCTTGAATTTATCTTTCAATACTTGACCGATATACGAGGCAATATGTGATCCCAAGCTATGTCCAATAACATGACAATCTGTAGTTCGATAACCAAGTTTACCCTGCAACACACAACAAAATATAGATAAAATCATGGGAATTAGCATACAATTATTTATAACTTGACTAAGAAACTGTCTATATTCATTATTGGTGTACAAGAAAAGCAAGAAGTTTCAAAATTGTCATACTGTATTTAAGAGCAGAAATATTATTTTTAGAAAATTCACGTTGATGGAAGCTATAGCGTAAGTTCTGCCTTTCAGTATGAAATTAACAGCTCCACTCAGAAATAATATCATTCTACAAAATCACAATATTTTAAATATGTTATTTGTAATGTTCAAATGACCTTTGAAACACCATTTCCTCTCTCCATAAATATAGTCTATACAAACATTATTTCAAATTAAGTATATGCAAGATTTAACAATCGACTACCCATAAAATTATATTACAACATGTCACAAGATAGTTTCAAACTGATAAGATACAGTAAAGAAATTTTTTAGTATTCTATGTCAGTAGCCTTTCACAGGGTTATTTTAGACGAGTACATCGCACATGACAATTGAGAGAAAGCTAGCAAAAGTATATTAGAAGTATTACTGAGATACTCTTGTCAGGACAGCAAATATTTAAGAAATATGGAAAGTGAACTAACTATTTGATTAACGAGATGTGCAGCAACTGTTCCCACCACTCTTGTATTAGCAACAGCCTGGCTATAGGGAGGAGCAGAACCACCGCCCCAGTCAATGAGTATCACATTAAGATCAGCAAACTGCAGCAATTCCACCATCATGTTCTGTAAAAAAAAATGGTTGATTAATGCTGATGCTTTTAATGACCGAAAACAATTCCATTAGTTTTCTTTCAAGAAGAGATTTCTTCTAAAAACTTTGATATCATTCATTAAAAACCCATTCCACATACTTTTTTCTCTCTCTGATTTTCTAAATAAATGAAAATAATTAAACACTTGTTAAGGTTTATAGCAGAAGAAGACATTTTAAAGATTCTTTTCTCCACTTATTGTATTAGATACAGAATTTGCATTTGGTTTTCGTTTTTTTACTATCCAAAACATTGTGAAACAGTTGTATACATAAAAAGGAAATTCTGTATTTGTTTAAAGTCATGTGAAAAGATAAGCAGATTTGAACATTTCTTTAGTAATTCCTAAAAACAATCTTCTGAATTTTTTTTATAAAATTAATTACTATCTTACCAACATCCAAGTCTTATTTCCATTCTCCAAGTAGCCATGACTTATTAGCACAAGAGGATTTGAGGGAGACAAGGTGCTCCCAAGAATTGTTTTGTCATCACCCTCCACCAAACGCTGCACAAAAGATTAAAAACATACTAATGTTATATTTTATTTAAAATAAATAGAGAAACATGACTCACTAACATAATTTATAAGCCATTTTTTCATGCATTCCCTTTGGAAATCTAGAAATCTGTGTTATTACGTACCTCACAAACAAATCGATTTTTCCTGGTATAAAGGCAAAAATTTGGAGATATCTTTTTTGGAGATTCTGGCAGTAAGCTTATTGGCCGGGCTCCTGATTTCCAAGGTGGTTCAATGCTGAAGCAGCCATACTTATTAAAACACCGTGTTGTACCTGCAATTAAAAAAGTACATATATAGATTCTCTATTTCCATGGGGGAAATCTGTATGGTACCTATGTATGTAAACATGGAAACCTTTTTCATCGTTTCGTCTTCAATGTCATATAAAAAGTATGATTCTGCAGAGGTTACAAAAAAAATTGTAAGCCTTTTGTGGAGTTGTTTTTGAAGGCCGCTATAGCGAATTCGGAACATTCCTCGCCTACCGAGGCCGTCCAATTAGAACGCGCAGGCAACAAGGTCGTCGTACTCCACTTAGAGGCCGAAAGGCGCTATTGTGTAACTTCGACGCGATACTGAATTAACTTATTGAATATTTTAGCCGGACATTCTGAGATTTTAATCACCGACAAATGTGTTCTGTTAATAAACTGAAGTGGTAGTGATGACATAGACCGATATATATATATATATATATATATATATATATATATATATATATATATATACATACGTTATTAAAGTTAAATAGATAATTTAGGTGTGTTCCGTATAATTCGTTTGTTAATATTACCCAAATTTCAGTGTCGATAATATTGTTTCTTATTATATAACATTTTACAAGAAAATCAAAATATACATGTAAATTATAATTAAGTAATTGTGTGGAGTAAAGCTTTAGAAGTTTAAAAAATACGGTACGAACATCAACAAATTTTGATGTTACTGCACTCAACCACGACTAAGTCGAAACTCCTCCCTTCAAATTGAATGTCTAGATCCATCCACATACCTCAAATAGGTACTTGTCCCGACGTAAAAAAGATTTCTTTCACCGTGGTACTTGTTGATAAGGATAAGATAAGATGGATGCCCCAAAGACACAACCGTCATAAACGAAGTTTCGAATTTCTGAAGAAATTCCTAAGATACAGGTACGGAGTTGCAAATGACATTTAGCCCCCCCCCCCGTCCTACTACTAACTTACACGGACGTCAACAGGTCATCTATCAAAATAAACGTCCCCGACCTTTACTTTGGGGAAGCTAGCGCGTCAATTTCAACAGATGTAGGTACTCATAATTCTCAGGAGTTGGCAAGGAGCCTACATCTAGACAGACATTACCTTTGAAAAGGATACCACAATTTAAAGAATTGTTTGCCTCGAACATGCTATGTGAATGTTGACCATGTTCGAAAAAAAAAAAAAAAATGTAAAAAATATCGAATTCTTGAAGAGGCAAGATCTAAAGGACCTTTATTGTATGTGAGTACTAAAATAACATAATAAATTGAAAAAGAAAAGAAACCCAACAATGGAGGTGGTTGAAGAACAAATCACACAAACAATGTATGTTACGAGAAGAAATCAAAACGGAAAAGCAAAGCTTTGATGTGCATAAACGATTACTAAGGCTCTCGCGGAACAAGTGTTAATAAGCAACATTGAAACTTCAAGGAGAATACATTTCCCAATCTTAGATTGTAAAATAATGTTGCTACTGGACATTCATATGTAACAGCTATTGATTTACAAGAATTGTACCAAATTATTTCGCTGAATTAGCGGAATTGAGGAGATAATTCTTACCATAATTTTAAATAATTCTCATGGTCTGAATTGAGCGACTATGCACCAGACCATTATTTTATTGACAAACTACAACGATTACAAGAAAAAGGAAATAGAAAAAAAGGAATGGAGATAAAGGTAAGTTCGTGTGCTGAAGTTCACGGTTGAAGATAAAATTGTAATGGGGCGAAAGATCATTGAGAAAAAAAGGAAATGAAAGGCGACGGGAACGGAAACTGACGGAATCCCGAAGTTGGTACATTGATAAAACCATTTTCATTGAGAAGAAAGGAGAATCGCGTTATCAGCCAGCGCATGCCACTGGCGACCACGCGTCCGCGTCGCGTAACCCGCCGCCAGGGCCACGTGGTCCCCAACGTCGCGTGATGCGTCGGCGCCGCGGAGGGGGCTCTTTTCCTTTTTTTATCGCACGCGTGATGAAAGCGCCAGACAGCCAGGTATGCGCGGCTCGAGGCCGCCGCGTCAGCTGTTGCGCGAGGGCTGGACCAGCGCGTCATCGCGGGCGCGCGCCGCCATTGGCCGGGAGCGGTGGCGCGATGGGCGCGGTCACCTGGGCAGGTGGCGCGGCGCTCGCCATTGGCTGACGCGAGTCGCGCCACTGCCGCCGCCGCCGCCTTCAAACCCGCTCGCCGAGCAGCGAGGCCGCTGCCGCAGGCGGTTCCGCCCGGGTTCCGCCTCACGCCACCGCGCCAACAATAGCCCCCTAGCGCCCCGGGCCCCAATTAGCGCGTGCGTGACCCGCGGGGAAACGTGGCGCCACTCGCATTTCTCGCCCAAGAAATCGCGCTTCTCATGGAGTGAATCGTTACGCGCCGCTCCATTTTGACAAGTTTTTCCTACATTTCTTTACACTTCCCGTGACCAGGAATTTAAAAAAATGGAATTACGATCCGGGTGTGAAATTTTAATTCCATCACTATTACCCACTTCTCTACACATTAATTGTAAAACTTTCAAAATGTACTTCCTGATTGAAAAGTTTCCAAGTAGCAGGCGCTCTCTAATATATTATGTAAATCTATTCTTAATGTCTTTCAAATTCCTGAAGTGATGTCCCAGTACTAAAAGTGTTCAAAAACATTTTCTACAATTCAGAAATGAAATTCTTTAAAAAATATACCTTCTTCAAATTAACAATTTAAACAATGTTATTTTCTGTTTCATCGGCTTTACTTGATTTTTGACTTTTTGTCCAAATGTGTTGTAATTTACCAATATACTAGATGAGTGGTACAGTCGTTCCATATCTGATCTGAGAACCCATTATTGTTGCTTTAGATATATCTACAAAGCGTATCTCTCTCTTTACAAGATCGCAGCCCGTTGCTTCACGAACCTCGCGCGCCTCCCCCGCCCCCCGGAGAAAGTCTGCCAACAATCGTCAACAACAGACCTCAAGCCCGGTCCCGTTCGTAAACGCCCGCTTCCTGGGCGGTCGCACCACTTACTGTTCAAGTCGTAGACTTCGTTCGGGTGAATCGGCAACAACTGCATGTTGGTGGCCAGCATGGAGAGCACCGTCTGCAGCATGATGCCGGTCCCCATCTCTGCGCGGGTGCTGCTGAGGTATTCCGGAGCGCTAAACGAAAGTCCCGCCTTCCGCAGCGAGCGCGTGTCCGACCTCGCCCCACCGAGTTCCCTGGCAGACTGTGGGGAGC